TCACCAGGGTGGCAGGGTGGGAGAGGGAAAAAAAAGGAACTAATACCAAGTGGCTCAAGAAGAAAGATAATGTTTTGAAATTGTTGATGGCAATATTTGTACATGTCCGCTTAATATAATGGATGTATGAACCAGTACAACATACGTAAGAGGCCCCAATAAAATAATATTTTTTTAAGTCTCAAGTTGACGAGGGGTGGTCTCTGGTAATAACAATTTCATGTCAACTTTAAGAAATATAAAAGTGTAGGGAGTCTAGCCTGTCAATCAGGTCAGCCTGATGGTACCTTCTCATGGGTGTGATCTTCTCAAGGAGGGTCCTCCCTCTAACTCTGCCATCACCTTCCTGCTGCCTGACCCTGGCTGCTGCCAGGGTCCTGGATGCGTTCACCACCACTGGATCCACACAACTCTGCACCCACCAAGCTATGATATTCCTGCATTTGGCATCATTGATTGTGACTGTATGAGTCTAAAGAGGGACTTAAAGACTAGTATCGGGCTTGTAGACTTGAGTTGGACTAGGCTGGATAGTTTTACTGATGCACAATTACTTCTTTCTTACATATACGTGAGTGTCTCTGGAATTGTTTCTCTAGTCAACCTGGCCTAATACAAAAATCAAGAAATTGGAAACAGCCCAAATGCACAGAAAAAATAGTTTAAAAAGTTGGTAAACACACACAATGGAATATTATGCATCTATGAATCAGTGATGAAACCATGAAGCACTTCATGAGAGGAATCTGGAAATCATTATGCTCAGTGAACTTAATTACAAAAGGGCAAATACTGTAAGAGCCCATCGCTGTAAGGATAACCACCAAGACATAGGCCAACTCAAACAATGCCCTGGAAAGCCTGTACTTCCCTCTTTATGTGCATCTTGAAAACCACGAGGACAGGAGGCCTCACTGTAGTTAGCATCAGATTTTCAATGGTTGGGGAAAGGAAGATGATTGAGGTCCCCTGAAACTAGAAGACATTCTTCTAGAGTGATAAGTGATACTGATGGGAAAATCAAGTCAAGGAGGGTGGGAAGGGAAGTATACATGCCTTGGGAGAAAAAGGGAAAGGACCAACCTGGTAGTCAGGGAATAAATGACTAACAATCGTGTTACAGACCCCAATGGGAGAATATGCTGGTACCATGCTCCCAATAGGGCACATTGGTCCGAGTTTCTATATAGCCCCTGAGGAACAAAGCCATGTGCCATATAATACTGGGACACTGAACCCTGCATCTTCAAGGTGCACAACATACTACAAAGGCAACACCAGAGGGATGTGATGTGGAAAGGCCACAAGGTAAAATGGGCTCTATCTCAAACACACATCCAAGGACTTAAGGCAGAAACTACATAGTGTGTGAAGCAGCAGAAGGCAGTTAAATTATACTAAGCTTATTGAACTGTCAGTAGCCGGAGTAACACTTACTGATGACTTCAATGCCCTACTTGCTTTAAAATACATAATAATCTGGCAGACTAGTGTCTGACATTGTCAGTGAATATTATTATAAGTTTTGCCGGATCACCAACTTCCAATATTTGTATAAATAATGTCCATTCACATAACGATTCAATCTGTACAAGTCAACAATATGAATTGAGATTTGTAGTTAACCTATGCTTATTTACTTATCTAATCTCCTCTCTCAATTATGTTTTAAATGTCTAGTTCTAAATCTTTAGTTCATTACCATGGGCTACATCAATGACACTATAAACAGAAGAACCTATGCTCCAGGGAGCTGATCAATAAGATTCTCTACCATAAAATAACAAAGATGCTTAAACCAGAGGCAGATAAAAAACAAATTTAGAAATGATTCTGGGCTCACACTTAATCTCATATCCAACCTAACAATTAGCTCTTACACAAAATGCCCCTGCTTGATGCTCACCTTCATGAAAGATATGGATGCTACAGCAAAGTGTGGTAAAGAAATGAATTGGTACCCAGCTATCAGAAAGAACAGCGTCTGGGTTCTTAAAAGCTTGTTTAAAAAAAAACCAAAACCTGTTGTTTTCAAACAGCCCTCTAAGTGAGACATTAACTAAGCCAACCAACAAGTGTGATCTAATCTAAACCCAAAAGAGGGAGTTTACGTTGTGAAATTCTGGTTTACAGAAGGTTATGGATGACAGTAGAAAGCCAAAATACATTTGTAGGACCTACACATGGAATAAACCTCCATTGATTTCCCTGACCATAATCGAGAAATGGGAATAACCTGGTTATCAAATGCAGTATTGTAGTGATGATTATAAATTAAAATAAGAAATCTGGCCTTGGCAATACATCTCCTTTTTGATACATTTTGTGCGGGATCTGGTTTTTAATATTTTCTGGCTTTTTTGTTGTTGTTCTTTCTCCAAACTGGGGTTTGTCTCGGTAGTATTTTCTTATTGTTAGTAGCCTTCTTGACTCTATTTTATATTTTCCTATGTTTTCGGTATATCAAATCGAGGATGGGTGAATGTAGAAACAGTAACTAGAATCAAGTTTCCAGGGGGTGGGGGGGGGCGAACGGTTGAGGAAGTGGGGGTGGTGGGTAATGGGGAGCTAATATCAAGGAGTACAAGGAGGAACAACATGTTTTGTAATTTATTACAGTAGAAATTGTATAACACTGTGTGATATGACTGAACTACTGAATGGTATGATGTCCTAATAAAATAGTTTAAAAAAACAAACAAACGGCCAAAACAGGCTTACATACCAAAGGGAATAGACGTTGGAGGTTACTAAATGGGTCAGGCCAAGGGATAGAAGATGAAGCAACAGACTAAGAGGGTTGACAGTTGCTGCCTTGGGCAAAAGGGAGGTTGGAGGTCAAAAAGAGGAAGAAGATAAATCAGAGATGGGGTTGAGGTAGAATATGGGTATGGGGTTAATGAGTGGTTTGAACTGGTGAATGCAGCATTGATGGTCTGAAATATAAACACCACCTAATTCACAATAAAATAATTTTTAAAAAGAAAAACCAAATTGTTTTGTAAACTTTCACACAAATTAGGGTAGGAGGGGAAATATATGATTTGAGGTTAGGGAGCAAATGGTAGGAAGAGAGGTTAAGAGAGAAATTAATTTTAGAAGCAAATCTTAACAATAGCCTCAAAGTTATGAGTAGCATTTACGAGTAAATCAATATTCTCTAATTTACCTACAAATTCCCAGTCTAGATACATATAATGTATCCTTTAAAATACAAGCCAAACTAATACTAGAAAAATTTTAAAGAACAATTTCTATTATATGGCAGTATTATAATACAGCTGTAAGAAAGAATAATTGTTCTTTAAGTGACAGGAATGTTTCCTTATTTAGAATCATGGGCTTTAAAACCCTACCCCAGGCCTCAATAGGCATCATAGAAAAAGGAGCTAAGACATCGAAAGGCTGTACTCACAAAACTAGTTAAGAGACAGAGACTTGCTAGAGTTAGGATTCTTGTTTTGCCTTCCTCATCAGAACTAATAGTACTGACAAAGTGTAACACACAGAAGACAAAAATCACTATCTTGTGTCCATAAGAAGAACCTTTCAGACATTCTTCAAGCAAAAATGCATTTGTGCCTCCTCCCTTAGAGTTCATGGGTAAAGTGGTTTGCAGCTTTAAGTGGGTAGAAAGGCAAGTGAAACCCCCTTTGTGCTTAAACAAGCTGTGACCACAGTTTTGGCATCACCTATCATCGTCCACCTCTGCTTCTCCTCTGAACCCCCTACACCAAAGGAAAAGAAGGAAAGTGCCTGAAGGCCGACCCTTCCAGAGGCTGGCTGGTCTCAAGGACAATATGCCTCCCATTCACTCAACCTCAGCTGAGTGATAGAGTGCCTCACTCACCACAGAATGAGTGACACCTGACAAGATCTCTGAGATCAGTAACAACAAGCACAATCATGGTCAGAAAACAGTCAGGAGGGTAGACCATCTGGCCTGGCTTTTATAAGTGCCTAGAATGTAAAAAAATTTCAATCATGGAACATTTTCTTCCTCTCTCTCAAAACTGTATTTATAATTAAGAGTTCAGCATTCAGCTCTTTCATAATTCATGATTGTTAATTTCCTCCCTACTACATTATAAACTCTTTGATGTTAATGACCGTGTCTTTTAGGCTATGTGGTTCCATGGTATCTATGTATTCTAGGCACAGGGTAGGTACTAAGTACATGCATATTAATTTCCAATCACAGCAGCTACCTCAAGCCACAGAAACTAAAGCAACTGTTAGGATATGAGAACAGAGATTATGAATGAGTGAAAGAAAGAAAGGGAAAGAAAAGAAAAACCACCAGTGCTATAGTGTGGCAAAGGTAGCTAGAAGTAGAGCTGAGCTCTTCCTACATCCCACCTGGGCCCGGGTTCACAGATCATCCTTCAGTGTAACTGCACTTGCAGTGTGTAAAACTCCAGTGTCAGTGTTTTATATAGGAATTTGGAAGGCCAAAAATCTCAGTGCAATTACAAACATTTCCCATAAAAAGAACCAAATGAAGTATCCTGTTATGATTTCTCAAAGTTTTCATTAAAAACTTAAGAAAAAGTAAATAGACCAAATTTCTTCATAGAAAAATTATATTTACAACTCCTTTCAAAAGCAGTCTTTAAAAGGAAACAATGTGGCACTGAGATTAAAAAAAACTATGTTCACCCAGAGTTGCCAGGTCTAATAAATTATTAGCAGAGTACTACATCAAATATAAGGCAATAACTTGAGATATCCCATTACTATTTCTCCACTCCCACTAGATAGAAATATTCTAGCAGCAAACAAGACCACTCAGATTCTGCATATCTGAAAACTCTTAAGAACAGAAGGATAAAATGTGATCTTCATTCTTCATTAGACACTTAGAATACTTGAAGGAAAGTAATTTCTAAAGCACAAAGAGGTAAAGAGGTATAATCATTCAAAAAGAGATTATTCAGTGTTCAAAATTTAAGAATGCATTATCTATGTATAATGGATACCAGGTGAATATACACAAGCAGTGATAGCAAATTAATTTATTTAATATTTTTTCCACTCCATATCATCAGGAGGATTGATTTCAACTTTCCTTTTACCTACATCAGACCAGTTGGTACTCAAAACTGTGCCACCAGACTCCATCTGCAATAAAGAATAAGAACAGGTTAATTCTTAGACCATATAATCAAATTAGTTTTTTTCAAAAAGTCTTCCAAAAAGAGATCCCCAAACACATGCTATCTTTTTCAATGTAAAGTTAATATTTTTATTCATTCTTAGGCTTGTCAAAGAGGTTAACACGTTCTGAAAAATCTGAAAAGAACACAAGATATTTGGAAGGAGTACCACATTCACCAAACTAAAAATATCTACTGCAATCAAGTCAACTCTGACCCCTAGTAGCCCTACAGGACAGAGGCTGTACATCTTTCTGGGAGTTCTCCCACAAAATGGCTCGTGGGAGTGAACTGCCAACTTTGTGGTGAGCAATCCAATGATGAATTCATGGTGCCACAGGTCTCCTTTCATCTTCACATGCATGTCATATAAATAACCATACCTCTCTCTGCCACAAAGCATAAAGTTTATGGGCAGAAACCACCTTCAAAGGAAAGTGAAATGGGCCCCCTGAGACAACGTAAGGCAAAAGCAAACCTTCTGTTAGCATCTGGATAGAACGTAAAGGCCTTTGCTAATGCACCCTCCACATGTTTACTGTGTAATCAAAATTTCAAATTGAGGTGCATACACAAAGTCACAGTGATAAACTGATCATCTATTTACCATCTACTGAATATAACACCTACCTACAAGCTTGGCATATTCATAGATACATTGAAAAATAAAACTGATTTATTTTAATGCAAAAAAACCCACTGACTTGGATCACAGCAAAGAACAGAGTGAATTATTCAAATATAAACATTTTTAAAGACTCAGTGGTGCTACTGGCAATCAAAATAAAGTCATATCCCCCCCCAAAAAAAAAATAAATAAAGTCATATCCCCTATTACACTGGAGCCTCGTGGAATGCCAGAATCTGTCTACCTTCTTTTACATGGGTTCTTTGAATGGGACGTTTTGCTCCATTCCCAGACATTTCAATGTGACAAATCTGTAAGACAGGCTCTCCCTAAGAGGACCTTCATTATAAGAGGGAAAGAATGGATTTCCCTTATAATCTAATGATCTTTCCTAAAGACAACAGTATTTCCCTTTCCTACTGAAGGATGGCAGTGTGATCAGCATGATCTCATATAGACATTAGTCTTTTGTTCCAATTAATCTGGGAGGTCATGGGGGGAGTCTGTTGTTTCTTTTATATTTCAACCAGCATAGTGAAAGTCCTTGTTAAGTTTTAGACCAATGTTTTCAAAAAGGTACTTTGAAGTACAAATTTGAAGTACCTATTCCTCCTATGAAGTACAAATAAAAAGCCTGGGCAATAAAAGCAACAAACAATGAGAAAACTCTGAAAGCTACAGGGAAGAAAGAGGCTGGCTAGAGTCCTTGGGATGGATCCTCAGAACCCACAACACGGTGGTGAATTACCTGGGCTTTCTTTTTGCTCCATATATCCAAGACTAAGAGCTATAGAAACCAGAAAACTGGAAATGCTAAGGGACACCAACAAAATCTGTTCTCTCAAGTCAAAGGATCAGAAATGGAGTTTAGGAAGATTGAAAACTTAGAAAATAACCATCCACACTCGCTGCATACCACAGAAAACTGTGTTCTCTCCTCCCGACTTGCCAGCAAAAAAGCCGACTTTCAGCCTTACAAAGATGCAGTCAGTTCCCGCTGCAGTGTCAGTGGAGACCAGATGACAATTGGAGCTCATGTGCCCTCCATCAGTAATGGAGGTGTCAATGGAGGACAATTGGGTTATGGGGACAACTCCCTCACCCTGGCAGTCCTGAGAATACAACATTCCTTTCCCTACAGGAGCAGCTTCAGAGGAAGCCAGCTATAAGAGACTTACATATGATGCAGAGTCTCCTAATACAATAATGTCTAGTTTCTATTGAAAATCACTCATCATACCAAGAATCAGAAAGGCACACACACACATAGTAGATATCAACACCAAGATGGCAGATGTTAACATTATATGACAACAAATTTAAAGCAGCCACGTTTAAAATGCTTCAATATGAAATTATGCACTTTTTTAAAGTACATGAAAAAAGGAAAAGCTTCGGGGGAGGGGTGGAATGAGAAAATATCAGCAGAGAAATAAATCTTGAAAAGAAACAAACCGTTTCACAATTGGGGAAAAATGGACTCAACAATAGAAGAGAAGACAGAGGAGAAATCAGTGAACTAAAAATACTGCAAAATATAAATGATCAAATCTGAACAACACACAGCGTGAGTGCACACACAAATTGAACATCAGTGCACTTATGAGACTTTGAAAAAAGATCTAACTTTCGTGTCACAAGAGTCTTGAAGGAGAGCTAAACAAGGCAAAGATGCTCGCTATCACCACGCTTACTCAATGTACGCTTTTGAAACTCTAGTGCAACAAGCAAAAAAGAATAGAGTAAGAACACAGATCAGAAAGGAAGAAACAAAACTTTTTCAGTTTGCAGATGACATAAGAAACCCCAAGAAATCTCTTGAAAGTAAAATTAGTTAAAAACAAACAAAAAGCCTCCTGGAACAAGTGAGTTCAGCATGGCAGCAGGCTTAATGATAATCATACAAAAAACTAATGAGAAGGGGGAAAAGGGAGAAGTGGACATGTGGAAACTGGAATTAAATAAATTGTATAACAATATTTTAAAAACTGAATGTAAATCTAGCAACACATGTACAGAACTTATTTGCTGAAAATTGAGTAACAATGATAAAGAAAAAAACCAGATCTATTTAAATGGACTGGAATGGCAATTCTCCCCAAACTGATAAAACAATTTGACAAAAGACTAAAATCTCAAAGAGTTTTTTTTGTACATACAGATAAAATTAAGAAGCCCTGGTGACATGGTAGGTTACGCGTTGGGCTGTTAAATGCTCTGCAGGAGAAAGGTGAGGCTGTCTACTCCTGTAAAGATTTACGGTCTTGGAAACCTCCTGGCGCAGTTCTGCTCTGTCCTGTAGGGTGGCTATGCATCAAAATGGACTCAATGTAAGTTGTTTGGGTTTTTTAAAATTTATTTATAGACAATTATTCTAAAAGTTAAAGAAAATAAAACTGGAATAATGTTTTAAAAGAATAAAGTGAGAAGATTGAGTCTACTGAAGTTAAATACAACATACAGCTATAGTAATGAAGGTATCACTGCAGGAAAGTAGACATATGGACCAAATGAAAAGAAAAAGAGATCAAATAAATATGCTCAGCTGGCTTTTGGAAGATACACAAGTAATTTAAATGGTATACTGGACATACACAAAAAGACCTTTGACCTAAGTTTTACACTCTGTATAGGGAACTCTGTAACATTATATAAATTTTATTAGAGAGAAAATCTTTGAGACAAAAGTAGACAGAGTCCTTAAGACTTGATACCCAAAGCATGATCCATAAAGTAAAAATTAACCGACTGACTTTATTAAAATTTAAAACGTAGGGTCAATAAATGACCTTGTGTTAAGTGGGTAAACAGACAAGTTAGACTGGGTGTGTAAAAAATATTTACTTACACACCACGTCTCTGACAAAGAAGTGCTAGATTGGTGGTTGCCAGGGCTGAAGGAGAGTGGAATGGGAAGTAAAGTGGCAACACGGCGAATCCTTGCGGTAATGGAAATACTCCATATTTTAACTGCTATCCACGTCAGTATTATAGTTGTGATATTGTACTAAAGCTTTGCAAGACGTTACCCATGAGAAGATGCAAAGGACACAAGGGATTTGTGAAAAGTATAATCATGAAAAATTATACATTTTTCATACATGTGGGCCTCATCCACATTAACTACTATTTTAAATTGTTTTTTATTTGTTACGTTTTAATTATTATACATTAACTTTCTAATTTAGATTTAAACGGCTTCAGAGAAAGCAGTATCATTCCTAGAGTTACTAGTAAATGTCAAATAGCTCTATCTTCAAGCAACAGTTCTATCATTCTACAGTGATGACGTGTCATTAAAATATCAGAATCTGATATCCAATTCAAAGCATATTTTTACTGCCCTGGCAAAAGAGCTTCAATCTTCTTAATCAATAGAGAAATTATTCAGAAAACAATGCATAATTAATGTGCAACTTTTGCTTGCTAAACACCATTCTGGAAGTTTTCCTCTATAACTGCATTCATGAATCAAAACAATATACAATTCTAGAAAATAAATATTGGAAGTTCACTCCACTACTATGATAAATCCAACTGGGATAACTCACACCACCCTGTGGAGCCTCGGTATTTCCTGGTCTTCCAGTTCTAACTCACTGATACTAATGATCTGGAGTAAGATCCTGTGTAAGACCCTCTTCCACAAGAGCTCCAACCTCAATTGCTATAAGCTTCAAGCAAGAAGAAATGTTCAGACATAAGCAATTTCAGACCGTCTCCTTCCTACTAAATACATGCAATTTAGTCTCAAATGACCTATTTATCGTTCTTTAAATTTTTCTGAAGTGTACTATCAAAATTTTTGAAAATTATTTCTATGTTCTTACAAATGATTTGTTCATGGCCCGTTTCACTTCATCAGAGCCATCTGAATAGATCTGCTGAAACAATTTGTTTAAAGCTGCATCTCCCTCCAACTTCTCATTCTTTTCCTCTTCTTTGATCTCACCAACCAATTTATCCCAATTTCTTGTATAATGAGATGATGATGGGTATGAGTTCTTTACATCTGTGAAACAGGAAGGCAAAAGTAAATCACCGTCATGATTTCATCAAGCCAAGAAAGAACATATAATCTCTGTGTTTCATGTGTGTAACAAGTATCTTTCTGACATATTAATAACTAGATTTACATTAGTTAAAAACATGTTTGTTAGCATACCATGAAATCTGGGAACTACTTTTGGTGTGAAGATTCTCAACAAAGGATAAACTTGTGAAAACTTATGCAAAATTAAAGACATTTTTCACATGAATAATACGGAAAACAAGAGGTATATGGGAATTTAAAAATTTACAGGAAAGTTGCCAAGATAATTTCAACTATTCTAAAAAGTAGAGAATTTTAAAGAAAAAGTCTTCCCTTAGAAATTCCTCTTGTAAATAAGATTTTAACAAATGTTTAAAATGTGATTTTTTCCCCCAGAAGAACTGAAATATCTTTCAGACTAGAAATATACTGAAAATACAACCCTCCAGGACAAATTTTCAATTGAGTTAAAACTCCATGCTCTCCATAGTAAACGCATAAAATTATAGTAAAAGGAGATGACCATTGGAAATCCTTGAGTGTTGGAAACTGCCACCCTTACCTGATCATCTAGCATGCAGTGAATACGTGCAGGGCTTGCGGGGCCCACTGGGGTAAACAGAGGTTCACTACTACGGCCAGAAAGGCTACCAGTCCAGTGACTATGGGCACCTCCCTGGCTGCCCCCAAAATCAAGGCAATCAGATCTTGGCAAAGAAGCCGCTCAAATAACTAGTTGACCTAGTAACTTTAGTATCCCTGCCCATTGGAAATACAATGGAATCCACAAAAGGAAAGCCACACACATAATTGAGGATTTTCCAGTAGCCAAATTAATAATAGCAAGTGAAATTTGTTCCAATAAAATTTTATTTAACCTAATATATCCACACTGATGCTACTTCTACATAATAAACCTATTCAAATAGTTTATATTCCTTTTTTTCATTCTAAGTCTTCAAAATCTGGTGTGTATTTTACACTTAAAGCATATTTTAATTCAGACTAGTTACATTTGAAGAGTGCAAAGCAAATCTATTGTTTTCAAAATTCTATCCATCTCCCAGTCATCACTTCTATCTCTCTACCTGTCCACTAGTGGCCACAACAACAACAAATGCATGCCACGGGAAATTAAGAGTCTGGGAAACACAACTTTAATTAATCCAAACACTGCCTCTCCAAAAGGGTGGAAGAGAGGTTCTCATTTCCATTTTACAGATAAGACAACCAGCCCCAACAGGTTAAGTGACTTGCCCTTATCTGCTGTCTCCAGCTTGCAAGCACATAGGAATCTGACAAGCATGTTAATTTGTTAAAAAAAATATATAACAGGACAGGAAGAAAAGCAACACATCTAGCCAAGGCTTAGAGCTTATAAACTTTCTAAACTATGACAATGAGAAAAACCTACTTTATACTTAATTTCAGAAAAATCTAAACACATGTAGGTGGCAGATAACCTGTTCAAAGATGGATCTGTGCTCCAATTAACTGCAAAAATATTCATGGTAATAATCACTACTTCCAGCCTTAGGAAATATAGCAATAAGCAGAATCATACAGGGGTTCACAGACAAACCCAACCTCCATTCTGAAGACCTAGGTTTATGTCCTAGACCAGGGGTCCTCAAACTACGGCCCGCCGAGGACACTTATCCGGCCCACTGGGTGTTTGTGTTTGTTTTGTTTTTTCACTTCAAAATAAGATATGTGCAGTGTGCATAGGAATTTGTTCAGTTTGTGTTTTTTTTTAACTATAGTCCGGCCCTCCAACAGTCTGAGGGACAGTGAACTGGCCCCCTGTTTAAAAAGTTTGAGGACCCCTGTCCAAGACAATGACACTGCTGGGTAAATTTAACTAAGATGCTTTATCTCTGGGCTGGTAAAATAAGAAGAGTAACACTGGGTGTGTCTATTGTTGAGTTGAGATATGACATTTAAACTGTCTTTTAAAAATTGACCAATAATGTATGAAGCAGCAAGTTAATTAAATAATTTAGATAGCAACCATAATTTTACAGTCCTTAAATTTGTGTCAACTTCCAAGTTTTGCTAATTATATTATGATTAATCATGATGCTATCACTGGAGGGGGAAAACAGGTGTTATCATTGGGAAAATTGGCAAACTCTTATTTTTGCAACTTCTCTTTGAATCTAAAATTATTTCGGAGTAAAAAGCACACACAAACACACATACAAGGGAACTTCAAAAAGTTCATGAAAAATTCTATTACCCATTCATTCCACTTTTCATGAGCTTTATGAAGTCCCTTTCTATGTGTGTATTGCTACAAATCAAAAAACTTTATTGAACAAAATATTAAAATGTGAAGCTTTGTTCCTCCATGTCGGTTTATATACTTCTGAAGACGTTGTTTCCATTTCTTTTACTTCCCACCAATAATTCTGTGCTTTTTGATTTATATCATGTCAAAAATGGCAGTTTTGTCCTCCTTCCGGGACTCAAATCATGTACCTCTGAAACGTTCTTTGGTTGAAAGAACAAAAGGAGGTCTGAAAGGGCAAGACCAGGGCTGTAGGGTGCATAGGGGAATCTCTTGAGGACAGATTGTTTGTGTCTAACTTTAACTTAGTAAGACTTAATGTGCTATGGAGACCTACAATACTGGGAGCATCGGGCTGACAATATGCATAGCAGTAGAAAGAATAGAAATGAGTACATCAAGGGAAGGGGAATGTTAACAGTGCAAACGAATTCTCTTACAACTCCAAGGGGAGCAACTACCGTGTTTCCCCAAAAGTAAGACATCCCCCGAAAATAAGACCTACTTATAATTTTGCCTCTCACTGAAATATAAAGCATCCCCCAGAAATAAGACTCCCCGAAAATAAGGCCCCCCAAAGCTACTATAACTCTGGACCCTAGCGGTGGGCGCCGCAGCGCAGCCAGAGCAGACAGGAAGTATGACATCTCTTTTAATAAAACAATAAACAATAAATGTGTACCGTATTCTTCTTCATGGAAAAATAAGATATCCCCTGAAAATAACACCTAGCGCAGACACTGTCTTATTTTCGGGGAAACAGGATAAGAAAGGCCAACAAACAACCTCCAACCAAGATCATAAATGATACCATAAATAGACTGCATAAATCCTAATGGCCTCAAGCGTTTTGTTTCCGTTCCCTTCCTATTCCTAAGAGTTTTAAGAAGCTAGAACCTTCATTTAATTAAAAAAAAGGCTACTTTGTATTTCATTACAGGGCAACCTTATTATACTCAGTGTATCATATCTGGGAAGCATAAATAATGAAAGTAGAGCAAATGAGCATTACTATTTAATTTCAACATAATATGAACTTAAAGCTCATCAAGGCCAAAAAACAAACCTGGTAACTGTGCAGGCTTGGGCACATCTCCTTGCCCCTCTAGCTTCTCCCATCTCAGAGCCTCTGGCTTTTTCATCTTAATTTCAATCTGTAGAGAACATCACATAAAATCCATTAATTGATGTTAAGTACACAAAGGAGTTTAAAAACGCAATTTTCTAAGTCACTAAACTTTTATAAGAATTAATGCCAACCTTCACATTGTTTCTTAAAATAAGATACAATTAGATGTGAGCAATTTATCTTGGTTTATATACTTAAAGCATTTATCTTGGTTTATATACTTAAAATTCATCCTTCAAACTCAATGCACAGGCTGTAAATGGCAAATATCAAGAGTCCAGAAATGCATGTTTTCTTCTGAAGCAATGACTCTCCAACCAATAAGGCAGATTTTGCCTTTTAGGGGCATCTCGCTCAATCTGGGGACATTAATGGTTGTTAACAAGTGAGCATCCTACAAAGTAAAGGGTCACTTCTTCACAACGAAGACTTATCAAACCTGAACCATCAACAGTCCCACCACTGAGAATCTCTGTTCCACACAACTACTGTAGTTACACATGCACTCATTGGTTTTAAGCTGGACAGTTTTAATTGTATAAAAATACAACTAAGCTAATATTTTCACAAGCATTCATTCAACAAAGAATTACTGAGCACCTACTATAAACTAGGTATTACCTTCAGGGCTGTGGAAGATTTTTAAAATATTAAAGACCTGGTCACTTGGAAATATGTGAGATTCTTGAACATTAAGCTACTCAAAAGACAAATATATGTTCTAAGACTTTAGGAGGCATCATATCTGGCTGCACACAGTAACATCTCAAGACACCTTGAAAAGCTCTGAGTGGGAGGAAAGGGTTTCCAAGGGTAAAAGGCACAGTGCATCAGACAAGATGAAGAGATTCGTTTGCCTCAAGCCCAGAATTGTTGTTGGAGCAGTGAAAAATACAGATGGAAATACAGAACATTGACTATGAAGAATTTCTGTATGCTAGGTTATTAAGAGTGCACATATTAAAATGAAGAGAGCATATTTGGAGTTTCTGGGTAGTGCAAATAGTTAAGCACTGTTTATTGCTAACTGAAAGGTTGGGAGTTTGTATCCACCCAGGGACCGCTCAGAAGAAAGGTCCCTTCTACTCTGCAGGCCATGAATTGGAAGCAGCTCACCCCTGGCAGCTGGTTTGCTTCAATGCAATAGCAGGTCTCAGTCTCTACTCCAGGCTACTCTTACCTTCTTCTCACAGACTCAAGTGGTACTCAGATAGGCCTCTTATTTCTTTGCTCAAATAATGCTTTCATCCTCAGGGTTAGTAAGGCAAAACCCAGCATTTTTGGTGACAATATTAAGGCAAATATAGTAACAAACACATTTATGCAGCTTAAGAATAAATGTTTAATTTTATATTGGGGGTTTTTTTCTATAAAAAGAATCACTGCTTTTGTAAACAAGAAAATCAAGAGAGATTTACAAAAAGAGAGGTCTATTCATTACTTGATATTATTACTTTATATCAGGCGATTCATTTAAATTAAAAATCTCAGATCATCTATCACCTACATTAGTGAGAGAATACTTAAAATTTGCACTTAAAAATAATTTAAGGAAGCACCTATTTGGACAGAAAAAAAACACTAATAGTTTTAATCAGGTTTAATGAAGTGATGGTAAGGGGAAGGTGGAGATCTTAGGAGCACAGAGAAGTAACAAATAATTGTATTCCTAATAAGGGGGGCTAGAGAGGTACATGAACCAAAGTTACTGGGGCAGGCAAAAAGCATAGTGTGTCTGACATAATTGGTTTAAGTTCTACATAAATAAAAGCACACTTTTAGCACTGGAATGATTTAGAAGTGATCTACAATTACTTTTTTAAAGCAAACTTTCAATATTTTTCCATCAACAATATTAGGTGATGGTATTATAATTTTTTTTTGGTATTATAATTATTAAGGAGCTCTGCTGGTGTAGTAATTATGTGTTGTGTTGTTAATCACAAGGTCAACGGTTCGAAGCCACCAGCAGCTCTATGGGAGAAAGATGAGGCTTTCTACTCCCATAAAATGGAGTTGCAGTCTCACAAATCCATAGGAGTAGCTTTACTGTCCAACAGAGTCACTTTGAGTTGGAACTGAATTTATGGAAATACATTTGGTTTTGGTTTTATTCTAATTATTGTACGCTGCTAATGCTGGGATATTTATCAAACCAAAAACCAAACTCACTGCCATCCAGTCAATAGTGACTCATAGAGAGACCCCCCCCTGTGGGTCTCTGAGACTGTAACTGTTTATGGGAGTAGAAAGCTCAGTCTTTCTCTGGCAGAGCTGCTATTGGTTTCAAACTGCTGACCATGCAGATCGCAGCTCAACATGTAACCACTACACCATCAGGGCTCCTCTATTTATCAAAGGAAGAAGCAAATTTAATAGGTGGCACTGACAGAACTACAGTCAACGAAGAGTCTACTGTCATCATCCTAAAATCTCAAAGTGTGTTTGCTCCCTTACTTTTCAATTCAACTGGAAATGAAGGCCTAGACAACAGTGTGCAAATCCTCACTCTCCGCAGCTGCTTGGCCTCAGGTCCTTATACACGGCATATAAGGTTTATTTCTCAAGAGGATAAGAATGGAAGGAAAATTCCTCAATATTATTATACAAGCTACATATGGAAAACCAACAGCCAACGTGGTAATCAATGGAGAAAAGACGAAAACAATTATTCCACTGAAAAAGGGGGCTAGACAAGGATGCCCTTTGTCCTCACTCCTATTCAACATTGTACTGGAGGTCCTACCAAACAACCTAAGCCAAAGAAAGACATCAAAGGTATTTGTCTGGGGAAGGAAGAGGCGAAACTATCATTATTCACAGACGGTATGATATTATATATTGAAAATCCCCAAAACTCCACAAGTGGAGTATTGGAAGCGATGAAGGAATATGGCAGAATGGCAGGATACAAGATCAACAAACAGAAGTCTATTGGACTGTTGTACACATCAGATAAGATCACAGACGAGGTGATCAAATAGGTAGAAGCCTTTACAGTAGCCAAGCACAAATTGAAATATCTAGGGATATACCTGACCCCCCAAAAAAAGATTTGTACGAGGAAAACTACCTAACACTATTACAAGAAACCAAGAGTGACCTCAACAAATGGAAGAATATCCCATGCTCGTGGACTGGAAGACTCAAGGTAGTAAAGATGTCAGTTCTGCCCAAGGCACTAAATAAGTTTAATACAATATCGATACGAGAATACGATCATTCTTCTTTAAAGAATTGGAAAAAACTGATTACCAACTTCATATGGGGAGGGAAGAAGCCCAGAATTAGCAGAGAACTCCTCAAGAAGAAGGACAAAGTGGGAGGGCTGGCTCTACCTGACTGTAGTACATATTATACGGCCATATTGGTCAAAACAATGTGATACTGGCATAACAACAGATATTCAAGCCAATGGAAAAGAGCTGAAGACCCAGAAATAAAAACATCAGCATATAGATAACTTATTTTTTATATGGGCCCAAAAAATATCAAATGGGAAGTGGATCCCCTCTTCAATAAGTGGTGCTGGAAAAAATGAAGCAAGACCCTTATCTGACTCCATGCACAAGAACAAATTCAAGGTGGATCACAGACCTAGAGGTAAAACCCCAAACTATTAGGGCCATTAATGAGGGAATTGGGACAAACCTGAGAACCTTGGCATAGGGAATACATAGGTTATAAGAAATAGGGAAGGATACAAATACAGAGGAGTCACAAATTGACAAGTGGGGTATACGAAAAAGACACCTGTATACATCAAAAGAATTCAGCAAGAGGGTAAAAAGAGCGCCCACAGTTTGGGAAAATATCTTTAGCAATGACACATCTGACAAAGACCTTGGGTAGGTGGGGAGCAAGGTACTAAACCAACCAAGGGGAGGGTATTGTTTATATCTCCACAGGAGAGGGAGAAAGAGACCAGGCTTCAATCCCATGCGTCAAGAAATGAATATAACATACCAGCATGTACCAGGGAACCAGCAGAAAAGTCCCCCTCCCCCACCCCCAGAAGAATGTACCTCAGAGAACAGCACTGAAGCTACAGCTTGGGGAGAGGGTGCATCTCATTGGGACACACAGGAGAAATGAACAGGGATGGAAAGGGAGGGGACACGTCCTGGGCCACCAACCCACGAGGACGATATTACTGCACAGAGCAGACAATGCACAGAGAGGACCATAGGGCCGGCCCCACCACGAGACATGACATCCCTCACTGAACCATAGCACTGTGGGGGACAAGACTGGAGAGACAGAGCGGGAATTGTGCCCAACCTGACCCCATCACACTGGGGCAAAACACTAAGGGCATGTGGGCATGCAACAGAGCAACAAGGGGAGCAAAGTGAAGAAATCCCCAGGGAACACAAAAAATAGACAACAGAGTGTGGCACCCCATCAGATGTGATGGGTAAACACTCGTAAAGGCCAACAAACAGACCTTGAACTATTTATAGGCTTTTTCATTCTTGTCAGTGGCTTTCTTTTTGTTATTTTGTTTTTGGTTTGTTGTTATTATTTTGTTGGTTTTGACGTCCTTTGTTGTTTTATTTGGCTTTGCCTGGTTTTTGCACTTATTAATGTTTCTGCATGACTACCTAGATAAGATCTATGGAATAAACAATTCAGAGATGAAAAGAATGGAATCAATGGTTCCGGGGGGATGGAGGGAGGTGATATGGGAGAAGGAGAGCTGGGAGAAAGGAATGGGGAGAGGAATGATCCAACCAGGGACAAGGGAACAAGGGAATTAAAATCAATGGAAAGAAGGGCGGGCGTAGGATGCCTAGGGGGGCTTAATCAAGGGCAATGTAGCAGCGAAGACCGAACATGAACGTGGGACAAGAGGAAAGTAAAAGGAAACAGAAGAATCAGGAGGCAAAGGATATTTATAAATTTCTAAATACAGGCATGCACATATGTAAATATATTTATATAAAACAAGAGGGGAACAGATCCATGTACTTATATCTATATGTTAAAAATTAAGGTTGCAGATGGGCATTGGGCCTCAACTAA